TATATATGTGTATATACATACACATGTATGCATATATAGGTACGCAACTATTACGAAGCATACAGATATATAGTCCAAAGTACACCAGTGATCAAGTAATTTTACTCCTCCGATTTACAACTATTATTCATTATTTTTGTGTTATCTGTTAAATCGATTAACAGCTAATTCTGTTAAAGACAAGCTCAACAGAACATCACATCCTTTCAACCAGCTGACAGTATTGGGTCTAGGGTTTAGGATTTAGGGTTCAGGGCAGTATCTAGTCTATGTTACGTACGAGCCCGTCTATGTGTAAGGGGACTGTTTGTACAGTACACACATGACAACTTGTCGTCATGGACCTACTAGGTTTAGGAACATATCTCCGGCACCCTCATCAATCCCAAACATACATAAAACCCATGAATCCAACCGACTGTCGTGTTATACCTCCTTATCTTACTTATCTTACTTGTCTTATCATACCTACCTTTCTTACTATACTTACTTATCTTATCATACCTACTTATCTTACTATACTTACTTATCTTTTAATACCTACTACAGGGTAAATATATGGTGACGTCTCACGTCAACTTCTTTGATGAGGATGGCAATCAAGTGATAATGGCGTTGGGGGCTTTTACTACCGCAGGTATGTTTTCATCGAACACACTACTACACGTGCATAATAATTTAATATATAGAAGCACAGTTGAAGCTGTGTATTGATATGAAAGTACCATATCAGTACGAAACTGAATCTGTAAACACAAAAGTGAGAACAGCCAAACGAATCAATCGATTCTGCATATCACTTGGTTTGGTATATCATAATAGTAATCAATCCCTGACCATACCTACACCTACTGAAAGAGCGCGAGCATGGCCACTCATAACCATTACCACTGTCATATAAGCATATCATTTGATCAAATATACCTCATATATACTCAGCACATAAGCATAATCAGATGCATATAAACATATCACTCACATGACTTATTATACCTCATATATACTCAGCACATAAGCATAACCAACATTTGTGTGAACATATCACTCACTTGACATATCATACCTTATATATACTCAGCACATCAGCATATCCACATTCATATAAACATATCCTTTGATTAAGTATATCCCATTTATACTCAATTCATATTCCTACCTACACCCAAAGACCAACTCATATTCCTACCTACACCTAATGACAGAGCCCGAAGGAATGGCCCGTTGGTTGAGTGCGTTATTTACTGTGGGGCTGTTGGCTGTTGTGCTGATTGTGTTCGTGATGATCTACTGGTTCTATCGCTTCAGGTAAGCAACCCATTAGTTGCGTTGTAAATAGTTAACGTAGTTGTTGCATTGTATTGAATGTTCTATAGTCTTCAGGTAAGCAACCCATTAGTTGCGTTGTAAACTATTGAATGTTCTATAGTCTTCAGGTAAGCAACCCATTAGTTGCGTTGTAAATAGTTAACGTATGTGTTGCTTTGTATTGAATGTTTTATAGTTTCAGGTAAGCAACCCGTCTGTTCGATTTATCTAAAACCCTAAAACCTTGCAACCTAAAACAGCTTACTTGTTGCAATGTATCTTGTTTTAATATGTTGCATATAGCAACTGCATCACTTTGACGTCTACGAAGAACGGTGCTCTCTATATGTGCCGTACTTTACACCAGTTCCTAAGCCGTCTTAGTTTCACGAGAAGTGGTCCTCTATAACACAACCCATTCAGTCCTACTATCATCCACTCCCGTGCATAGATCACCTCTGTATCAGACGAATGCTACTTAAACCGTAATGTACCAATCCACTCCATCCCACCACTCACCTCTGTATCAGCCGAATGCTACTTTAACCGTAGTGGACCAATCCACTCCATCCCACCACTCACCTCCAGGAAAGAGCGCCGCAAAGTCAAAAGACTCCGCCCTCAAACATATCCCAAGAACCTTCCTGCACCGTTGCTGGACGTAGACGCGCTGGATGAGATATCCACTGACGAGTACATCAGCAGCGAACGCTTTATGGCCTTAGTACGTATGCGTGGATAGGTGCACAGGGAGATTCATTAGTACAGATTGGTATTGGTTGATGTATATTGTTATTGATTGGTACTGATTGGTATTGGTTGGTGTTGTTTGGTATTGATTGATGTGTGTTGTTATTGATTGGTACTGATTGGTATTGGTTGGTGTTGTTTGGTATTGGTTGATATGCATTGTTATTGATTGGTACTGATCAGGTTAAAGCTGTCCTAAATACCCAGACTGCACCTGTCTCATTTATTCAGACTGGTATAGGTCCATACCCCCTTTCAGACCAACCCCATCTGATTCCCCTGGGCAATATATAGCCCCAGTTCTCACCCACCCAGAGCTTACTGTCTGTCTGTCTGTGTGTCTGTCGTTACAACAGGAAAAACTGGGCGATGGAGCGTATGGCGAAGTGTTCAAGGGCGCGCTTTTCAGGTAGGTCTCATCCGTAGCCCATGCACAGAGCAGCATAAAAGCGACAATAAACAGAAATCACATCTGCAATAACCCTAAACCCTATGAATGTCACTTGAGTATCTGGGTGTGTAAGTTATAGGCGACCCACGTATATTTATAAGTTAGCTTGATAATGCCTAAAACTAATTCGTTATGGACTTATGGGGTTCTTATAACCATCTCGGCTAGCTTGACAAAACCTAAAATTAAGTATACACATCTTGTGTACGTGTAGGCATATGACTCGTTATGGACTTAGGGGGTTCTTATAACCATCTCAGTAGCTTGGCAAAGCCTAAAATTAATTATAAATATCTTGTATACTTATAAGTATACAACTCGTTATGGACTTATGATATTCTTATAAGCATCTCAGTTAGCTTGACAAAGCCTAAAATTAAGTATACGCAACTTGTATACGTATAAGCATAGGACTCGTTATGTGCTTATAGGGTTCTAATAACCATAAGTGTATGACTCGTTATGGACTTATGGGGTTCTTATAAGCAACTCAGTTAGATAGTGCCCAGAGAGCTCTGAGAAGTATAATCCCTATACCTTCATATAAGGCTTCGATTGGTTCTGGAATTGTTATACGGATGTCTAGTCTATTCCTTTGTTTTGTAGCGTCCATTCGCTCATAAGTATTTCTATCTGTTTGTTTCCGATATTTATTTTGCTCAAAACATAGTTGTACCCTTGCTTCTGAATGTATATACTGTTCGCGTTTTGTTCACTTACCTTTGCTACAACGTTTTGGGTTTACGTTCCCCATGAATTCACTGTGTGTAGGGAGGGTACCCCCATACTATGCGCCATCAAGACACTCAAAGAGGAGCATCGAGTCACTCTATCGGACAAGTAAGTCCACTCATGGTATCATCAAGTATACGCAGAAGCTAGGCAGCGTTATACGCTTATGCAGTTTAGATATTTTAAGCTGTATATAATCAGTATGTATTTGTACATACTCTTTAAGTAATTTAGATACATAAAGCTATATATAATCATAATATATTTTTATTCAATATCCAAACAATTTAGATGTATTAAACCAAATAATCATTTTGTATCTATATACAATATTCATGCACCTTAGATTTACGAAACTATATATAATTAATCTTTATTTCAGATGTATAAAACTATATGAAATCGTTATATAAAGCCATTCTATATTGTCCATATATATATATTTTACAAGCAATATATATATATATATATATATATATATATATATATATATATAAATATATATACATCCATATATATATACATACATATATATATACATACATATATATATATATATAATTTAGAAACATAAAACAATGTACAATCATTATATCTGTTTACACAATCTAGATATCGGTACACAAGCATGTCTATCTTAATCTTCCTACTCGACGTTTCTAATCAAAACAACATTTATATTCCAACTCAAGTTTTTAACCAGATTCCTAGTTAACAAACCGAGGTAACTCCCAACTCAAACCTCAAACCAGGTTTCTGATTGATAAACCACGTTTATTCTCCAACTTAACTTTTAAACCAGGTTTTTGGCTGAGGCGTCTGTGATGCGTCAGCTGAGACATCAGAATGTGGTGCGGAACATCGGAGTCAGTGGAATTGCCGAGACGGAGCGAGCGGAGATATGCATTCTCATGGAGTTTCTAGAAAAAGTATATCTGCAGAAGTACCTGATAGATAACCCCCAGGTAAAGTACACGCTCTCAAGTATGTAGGTAACACTCATGTACACTCTCAAGTATGTAGGTAACACTCAAGTACACTCTCAGGTATGTAGATATCACTCAAGTACACTCTCAGGTATGTAGATATCACTCAAGTACACTCTTACGTATGCAGATAACAATCAGACACCTCATCTCATACGATTGCAAACCAAACGCACATACTCCATTTAGATCTCTGCGGCGGAGTTGCTGAGCTTTTCGGCGCAAATTGCTCGCGGGTGCGAGTGCATCGCCAGTCACAGTCTGGTGCACCGTGACATAGCTGCACGCAACTGTCTGCTGGGACAGATGGGATCAGGGGGTCACTTCACAGTCAAGGTATGAATGGAATGGAGTGAAGGTGGTGATAGAATGGAGTGAGGGTATGAATGGAATGGAGGGAATCTGTTAATAGAATGAAGTGAATCTAATAATAGAACGGAGTGAAGGTAATAATAGAATGGAGTGAAGGAAATAATAGAATGGAGTAGAGCGCTTTATATAATGGAGTAAAGGTATTATTAGAATGAAGTAGAACGCTGAACACAGGGGAGTGAAACTATTAATAGAATGGAGTAGAACACTTCATATAATGGAGTGATTAATGAAATGTAGTGAAGGTATTATTAGAGTGGAGTGTCTTTTCCGAGTCTAAACTTTTGTAGGTAGGTCTGTGATATGTGAGTTTCTGCAACAGTAGTCAGGGCCGGGTGGTCGGATCTTCCATTCGAGAACTACTTGCGATAAAAGAGGTATATCAATTACTGCAGAATTGTAAAAGGAGTATTGTATGGAGTCTAATTTGATGAGATGGCGGTGGCTGCTTAGTCATGGTATCTCCATACCTTCCATATCACTGAGAAACTGTGATACGTAGGAATGACTAGCGGCGGTAGACGTTTGAAGTGTACTTTGTTGAGATGGTGGGGGTGTTTAGTCTAGCTAGATGAGATGGTTATTAGGCCTAGCTTGGTCGTGGTAGATATATAATCCCCGTACAACCGAGAGTGCTATGTGTTCCGTCTTACTACAGCGAGACGCCCCATCACGTTTGCGTTGTGGTGAGTTGTGTGGTGTCTGGTACTGTAGTATGCTTTAGCATAGCAACGCTTTAGCGGTAGCTCTAGCAGCAGCCTATGCACACGTGATGACATGCATGCTGTAATAGTAGCGCCTCAAGTCAGTCCGCATAGTTAGTAATAGTGACTTAAACTTTTGCAATAGCAATAGCAACTTCTTTTGCGATGATAACGTCAATATAATCACCTCGACTATGTCATCGCCTTCCTTGCGTTGGTTGCTTGTTCCACTTTGTAGTTGCTGGTTCGCTTGCCTTTTATTTTTATTTTTATTTTGTTTTCTATTTAATTCTGTGAGCTGTGTTTTTGTTGCAGATCAGTGACTTTGGTCTGGCGCGTGTGTTTGGAGGTGAAGACGACAACTACATCATGGAGGGAGAAGGGCTTATGCCTATCCGGTGAGTGTCAGAGCCAGTTGATATGCGAGCACCCATTTATCATTCTACTATTCAATTTGTTGTTCTAATGTATTCTGTATTCTAATATTTATTATTCACATATCTATTTGGTTTTCATTTGCTGTACCATTATAAATACATATTTATGCGAACATTTGTTTCGTCATACTTCCTTGTTTGGTTGTGCTATTATATATCTTTTAATATTATCTATGTTTTGGCCATGCTCAGTAATTTGTTCTGCTAATATCTGTTGTACACGTTTGAAACACACTCTCCTGCACGCGTAGATAGGTGTGCATGCATTCACGTAGTCATACGTTTATTGATATAGCTCTAGGTATATATATATAGTTATACTTTTGTGGTTTGTGGAGTGGCGTGTGACTTTATGGTGCAAGCTTTATGTTCGTTCAGTACAAGGGAATATCCAAGTACAACGTTTTATCTGCAGCTGATGGCACTCATCCACACCCCGATATGTTATCATCACATCTTGTACACGACTAGTAGTTTCCTCACTCATAGTCTCAGCAAACATAATATACTCTCCTGTCAAAAACACTAAACCCTGAAGCCCTCAAACCAGACAGTACGTGAGCTGTGTCGACTGAATACAACCACTCTCACCTATCTAACACAACGTGCACACAGTCATAAAACGTTCGTACGGAATCTCATCCAGTTGTAAAACGTTCAAACGTAATGTCACCCATGCTCGTGCAGGTAGATGGCAATAGAGTCGATCACCGAGCGGAAGTGCTCTGCAGGTGAGCGAGGTGTACCCACACACACACTGCATAGACACCCACACACTGCATAGACACACACACACTGCTTAAACGCAAACACACAACATACACACACACACACTGCATAGACGCACACACTGTATAGACACCCACACACTGCATAGACACCCACACACTGCATACACACAAACACACTACATAGACACACACACACTGCATAGACACCCACACT